TTTGAAAGCATAATTTCGCAGTTATATGCCCGCCTAAGCTCAATCTACAAAACCATGAAAGACACTGTGAGATATTGTTTTATGGGAAGTATGAAAGTAAAGGAGACATGCAAGAGACAGATCTCATTTCATGGCATCAAACATGAATAAGATAGGAGCAATCAAACAGCACTTATAACAGGCTTCATCATATCTAACTATGCACTAATTACCAACTGGACTTTCTCTGATTTTAGGGAGGCACGACGGTTTGATTTTCCACCTTTACTTCCATGATCTGAGTTAGGAGCAGCAGCAGAGAAAAGACTCTCAAGTTCTGACAAGTCAATCTCTGGAGCCCTAGCACAGACAAAATTGAATCAGAAAGATAAAAAAAAAAAATCTAAAAATGTTCAACAGACAAGACTGGAGAAAACAAATTTGAAAGGATTAGAACAGAAACACAAGACATACTTGGAAGCTTCCTCTGGTTTTTGTGTCTCAGCCCATAAGCTTCCTTGCATCACCCTTGTTAACTTCAACCAATGATATGGTTTCAGATTGGCCTTTCTGGGTTGGGACTGGCTTCTTGGACTAGTACGTAATAACCCCCGTCCCTTTGCACCAAATGGAGCAGCAGGTGGTCCAGGAATTGCAGGAATATTCCCATTACCAACTCCTTGATGAGATTGTACAGAGTCATCACTGGCTCTTTTGGCAAAAGGAGCTGGAGGAGGTGGCACAGGGGGAGCAAGAGCCAAGCCACTCTTCAAGGAAGTACCAAGTGGCAAAGGTGGTGGTGGCACCAAAGATTTACCACCAGAACGTAGAGGAGGTGGAGGTGGTGGTGGAGGTCCGGGCATAACTACTGAATTCTTCATAGGTGATAGAGAGGAAACTAGTGACGGAGCTGATGAAGCAGTTCCAGGAAGTGGTGGAGGAGGAAGGGGATTTGAGCATTTTACAGTTAAAGATTGAGGACTTCTTGACAAAGACGGTAGGGGAGGGGCTGGTGGAGGAGAACTGGAGGATGTGCTCTTAGCCATGGGAGAAGGAGAAGCACTCAAGAGAGAAGGTGGTGAAGGAGAGAGAAGAGGGTTTGAACATGAACTCTTGATAGGTGCAAAAGTAGATGCTCCTGAAAGAGAAGGTGGAGGAGGAGGAGGAGGGGCTGAATGTGAGCTCTTGATAGGAGCAGATGTAGATGCTCCTGAACGAGGAGGTGGTGGAGGAAGGGGAGGAGAGGTCAAACATGAACTCTTGATATGAGAAGAAGTAGATGCTCCAGAAAAAGAAGGTAATGGAGGCGGAAGCGGAACTGATGATGTTGAACCCCTAACCTGTGATTTAGGATGCTGAGTTGGCAAGTCAACTGTTGCTCTTAGAGCTGATTGAGACGGAAGGGGAGGATGAGGAGATACGATTGCGGACATCTTTTGTATAATCGCAGGAGGCCCGTTAGGAAACTGCAGGGAGGGAGGCAGTGGAGACATTGATGATGCTGGTGGCAAAGCATGTATTTGACCAGGTTGAATTTTTTGTAAATTTGCAATAGGAGAAGACGCTGGGGAAGGAAGAGATAATGTAACTGGGCAAGTAAATTCTCCACTTTGAGATGCAGCATGATCATGCAATAGAGCTGTAATACCCAGGGCTGAAGGCGCACTGTGAAATCTTGATATAGACACAGGTGATGCTTGCAAGGAATTAGAGTATGAAACTGGAGCAGAGAGTGAAATCTGGGGTATTCGCTGGGAAATGATCTTAGGTTGAGCAGGATGTTGGAGAGCAACCTGGAGTTCATGGGCTTCAACCTTCTTTTGAACTGAACTTGCATCTGATGATGGTTCAAGAGAGGGTATAGTTTCGTTTGCATCAGCAAGATTCATGGGATTCTTCAGCCCAATATCTGGTTCCACCGATTCAACAGAAGGTATAGTTTCTTTTGCCTCAGCAAGGGTTGCGGGACTCTTCAAGCTAATTTCTGACACAATTGCTTTTGTTCTCTCTTTAACCTTTTCAAGAGCTGATTCCAACAATAGACCTGCTTCTGCACTTCGAGGAGAAAAAGTCTCCAAATTTTCTTGAAGGATATTAGCTGCAGTGATGTGTTGAAGAACATTAATTGCAACATCTGACTTTGGATCCATCCAATCAACATTGCTGAAAATCTCTTGAACTTTAGCAAATGCTTCCATAGGAAGCCCATCTTTCTCCTCTATACCTGGCATATCGACCGGAACAATTGAAGTAGCAGCATCCATCTCTGAAAAAATAACCTTCACTCAAACACAAAAATAAATCTTCCTTAGCAAACTGCAAAGCATGAAATATATGTGAAGGAGATGTGTTAATACCTCTGCTCTGAAATCCTTCGAAAATTTATCCCTAGCATTCCACAAAATGTCAATCTCATCGCGATTAAGCATTAAAATATTTGATCTAATAAAGGCTGTATTGAACATGACCCTAAACATCATCTCTTCCCGCTCTTGATCACTATCCAAACTAATGCACTCCAGCACAACATCACCTTGAATATGGCAACTGATGTCAATCTTTACTAACTCACAATCTGCCTGCAATAATATATCAAGTTTTTAGGATAAATATATATACATACACAATTAAGAATAAGGAAAACCTACAAACCTCTCTGGGTTGCTGACGAGGAAAAATAGAATCAAAAGGTACTCACGTCATATTCAGCAAAATATTCCAAATCGATAAATATTAAATCCAAATGTGAAAAGTTCTTTTCTGCTTCTGTCTAGTGTAACAAACCACCAGGTGATGTTAACCTTTCCAAAAGTTAAATATTAAAGGACCCAGACAAACCAAAGCCTCAAGAATCAACAATAGACATCCAAAACAATTTGGATTGCATGAATCAATGAAAATGATGCCATGTCAATTTTTATTAAAAATGAAGCAATGCCAAATCCCAACTGGGATATCTTGTAAACCAGAGACAATTTATCACTGGAACACAGTTTCATAAAGCTAAATAAAGGGAAGATTCTAAGTTTGTTATTTGGTGTATTCATCCGTTTAGTTCATGGGTTCGCCACCCTTTCTGTAACAATCCAACATGTGCTCTTTTAGCATAGAAGAAAAAATTAACATAATAAAAACGCTGCATCATATTTACAGATCTAATTTTTTCATTTTCACTAGGCAAAATAAAATAGATAAATTTACAGAACAGTGGACACTGCCTTGAATTAAAAGTTTCTAGATTTATGCATCATATGCTCCCCAAGTACGAACATGAAAACTGAGCTGTCCAAAGTAGTCTGACCAAGAAAAATGAAAGATAAAAGAACCTCTAGATAATCATTAATTTTATATCAATATACGATATTGACTTGGAAAGTGACTTGATAAAAAAACTGCATACACGAAAATATAGAGAGAAGATATTGATATTTGAAAGAAAAAATTATCCAATGTAAGTGTAAATGAAAATTATAACAAAATGATATCAGCATTATTATCCAGAAAGAACCAAACCTTTAAGTTTATCTAAAATAAAACGGAACTTGTAAATAAAGTGAAGATGTTCAAGCCACCTGCTTGTAATGTCGAACAAGTTTGCTCCTTTTTGGCATTGAAAAGAGAACTTTCGGAGTCCGGTCAGCAGCCATAAAAGGATCCTGTCCATATATCCTAAATATTGGGCGGCAACCCCCCTCTCCATCAAAATTAGGAATAAATCTAAGAATAATACAGTCCAAAGTAAGTGCCCTATCCAATGGAGGCCATTGTACACCGACATTCCTTCTTGACACGTACTGAAGGTATCTTAGCTGCGAAGGCAGTGGATTTAATGGTGACATCAGCTGCAACAGTTCCCGAGGTGCTTGCTTGTAGATCGTGTCTAAAGTTTTCTGTTCTCCACTGAATTGCTTTCTATATATCAGAAGAGCAGCGAGCATGAAGGCCAAAATTGGCCATCCACCTCTTTCACAATGCACCAGTAACACATTTTGTTGTACAAGTGAAAGCCAGCTTTCACTTGATCTCAAAAAGTGGTGGATCATCTCCATAGTTAATAAGGGGCAACCTTCATAGTGACGAGGATAGTCCATTACTGTCATATCATATTCAGACAATATGCTAGCAATCTGGCTCTGGTGCTCTCCCTCTCGGAAGTTAAACACCATGAAAGACGCATCAGGAAAGTGGTCACGCAGTTGACCAACTATGCCTCCAATATAAACTTTATATTCTTCATCTTCTAACATATCAGTTGTGAAGCAGCAATCAAAGACTACAGAAGAAAATACCATGATCGTTATTATAAAATTAGTATCTTTTTCCTATGTTTCTTGAGTAAAGGACAGGTTAATTATGGTTTTAGTGATGATGACAAATGCAGTTTTCTTCTTCCATTTCTTGAATAGAGTAAAAATTACATTCAAGGAATCAGGCGGTTCCATTCATTTATAGAGAATATTTACAAAATTATATCTAAAAGGTTGCATACTGAAAAAAATAATAATAATTCTTCTTCCATGGCAGACAGTCAACAGCAATCAACAAGCTTGCACATTGTAGAAGCTATTCAACCTTCCACAACAAAAAATAAACATATACAGAAAGCTTTACAAAATTAATTATATCAAGGGACTCATTACGACTTAATAACATCATTGATTAAACCATTCAAGCATTGCATGCTATTGTGAGTGAATGAGCAAGTGATAAGACGAGAAATAAACAAAAAGGGGACGGAGGCATAGAGTGAGAGACTAATAATGAACCAGAGCACTGTACCATGGCAGGCTTCCACATTAGGAACAATGCAAATTTTCCAACAACTGTGAGCATGAGCATTTTAAATACATATCCATAGTAAAAGTTGGCAGAGAAACATATCAAGTTTACTGCGTTTTCCTGAGTATGAGTACTGAAGAAAATTACAATACATGTGCATCTAACACTTATATAACCTAAAATATGTTAGTTTTCTTCTCTCCCTCTTTTCTTTTTTTTTTTTTTTTTTGTTTGCCGGCTATAAGAGTTTCCCCTCACGCCCTGTAAGAGGGAAATAGTCGTATAATTCATTCATTCAAGATTCACCAGATTCACCAAAAGATGTTTCCTCTCCTGTTGCATGAGCATTTATACACTTTCCACTCACGTTGGTACCCAGTGCTCTCAAATCCTAATCTAGAATAAACAGAGGCCGTTCACAGCCAAACACTTTAAATGGTATATGAATCAGATATAAAAAACAAAAGTTAGAAATAACCAAAGAAGAAAACCATGAAAACTTGAACTATCAAACATCACAACATCCATAGAAAGATAGTAAGTCACTTCACTTTCCAGCTAAAAGTTAATTTCCATGATGAAACGAGAAAATCCACTTACACACAAATGGAAACAAGATAAGGGCCATGCGGCTCTAAAATCAAATGCAATATTTTAAAAATATGACCAAAACCCATTGTCGTTTACTCTCAACGATAACCAAAATTTCTAAAACCAAAATCAATCAATCAGAGAAAGCATACCGTAAACCCTCTCGGAGATCTCCAATAGCCCATCAGGCGGCTTCCTGTAGAAAAACTTTCTAAACAGAGCCATGGTTGAGATCCAACAAAATCACGAAGAAGAACGCCTATCAATGAGTCGATTGAACCCACATTGCACCACCGAAACCAACAAAGCCCAACTTCAGCTCATATACCGAGATCACCAAAAGCGAAAAGGAATAAATCCCCTCAATGATGACAAATAAGAGAGTGTATATTCAGGAAACATAGCCATGGATTTTGCTGGGTCTTTAAGAAACACTTTGCCGGTATCTATTATTTCCTTCGGATTCACACTTTTTGCTCCCGCTCACGTAGAGAGACTTAGCTTTCAATCCAACAGACGTCGAAAGTCCCGCGAGATAGGAAGGAGAAAGAGAGGAAATGAAGATAATGGAATAAAAATAAAATATTCTTAAGCAGGTGTACAAATACAGAAATGGCGGTGTTTGTTAATAGAAGGGAGAGAAATAGGAATTTAGGCTTCAAGGATCTGAGCTTTGTCTGCGTCTGTATGAATGGATGAAGATAATGAGATGTCTCATTCTATTTGTTAGCTTTTGTTTTTCATTCTCCTTTTTGAAAAAATATTTTTTAAAATGTTTACGTACTAAATTTTTTTTTTTTTTTAATAAAAAAAGATGAGGGTATAGTAGTCAGTTTGTGTTTTTAGGGTACCAAAATGGAATATAATGATTTGTTCGGTACTATAATGTAATAAAAAAAAAACTTTATTAAAAAATTATAATTAATTAAGCATGAGATCTTATTATCCTATAATTTACCAATTTTGCATGCAATTGGAACGTAGAATCCCTTGTCCTCTGCTGGTTTTTCAAAATCTTTGATAGGAAATTAAATTACATAACAGCAATTTTATTTCAAAAAAAATAATAAATTAAAATTGCCATGCATACAAATAAGATAAATTATTTATATATTTTTAATTTTTTAATGAAATTTAATGATTAAAAACAAATATTTTTTATAACTTTTCTTCCCTTATATACAAATTGTATTTTAATAATAATTTTATTACTGTGTTAGTCATAACACCTTGTACGAGCTATTAAAACTTGGTCTATTTTAATTTTTCTTTCTCCATTTAATGTATTTTTTAATTAATATTTTCAAATAAAAACTAATTTTTCCCAATACAAATTATCCGGAACTAAAATAAACAACCGTTTGTAAAATGACATGACGGTTCAGGATTCCCTGGAGCACTACTTTGTGATTTGGAATTATAGCCCCACAAAATCTCTTGCGACGACGGATTTGTCAAAATCCACAATTAAAAAAAAAAAAAAAGATTGGATTAATTAACTTTTGAAGTAAGTCGTTGAATAATGTTGATCCTCATTATTTAAACACGCACGAACACGTGGCTCCCGACCATGTGTCCAATTATTTGCCATGTTATACGGTCTCCAACAAAGAACAAAACGACAGTGCCTAATCATTTTGGTTTGCATAATATATTTCATCTCTTACATGCATGCCTATATAAATAAATATGACAAATTATATGTTATACAACATATAAAATTATTATAATAAATTTCGCATACATCTTAGATAAATTAACTCAAATAATTCCGCAATTAGATCTCCCTTGAACCTTCTTCAATTGTTATCTGCAAATATCTATGAAAAAGTATAAGTAAATATGTAATACTCGAGTCTGGAATTTAACCCGGGATTAATTTTAACATTTTAAATATGTAAAAAAAATTATTTTTAAATTAATTTATTTTATTTTTTGTTGAATTTATTGAAAAAAAAAATAGGTTATGGGTTAAATTGAAAACAATTTTGAGAAAAAAAAAAGTTAAAAATTTGGATTCGAGAAGTGTTTTTAAAAGAAAAATCGAAAACTGGATGTCATAGTGCAAATGAGAAAAATTTTGCCATGTATGACCGTCAGTTAGTAACCCCGACGAACCGGTGAACACCGTGTGATAAGGCACGCTGACGTCGGTGTCACACGGGATGCCACAAGGGCAACCCGCGTGCCTTGCGATCGAATGGCCCAAGATCGATCTCGCGCACGCGGATGGCCAGAATTTGTTCATCCTTTAAACGCGATCGAACGGTCGAGATCATATCGCGATGAATGATGCAGATTTATTTCCTCTTTAAACATGATCGAACGGTCGAGATCAAACACGATGAATGGTTCAGATTTATTTTCTCCTCAGATGTGATCGAACGGTCGAGATCAAACGCGATAAACAGCTCAGATTAATGCGATATGAGTGTAAATATTTCGTATCACACTGAACCCGAACCCTAGCCTCCAGCCTCCCACCGGAGAAGAAGAACCAGTCACCGAAGAAGGGAGCTAATCGCCGACTACCACCGCACCAGAGCCACCTCCGACAGTCAAAAAAAGGTAAAATTCTCTTACCCGCTTGGAATTCGATTCTGAGCACCCCTGTGGCCATATCAGAGCAAAACGAACGGTGGGTGAGCTGAAAATCGCGAGTAAAGTCTGGCGGTGCCATTACAGGCAAAATCCACTACCTCCTCTAATGAGCCCGTTCTCGTTTTTCGTTTTGTGTAATTTTTTTCACCGTTCTGTTTTCTACAAGTTGGCTGAAGAAAAACTTCCAGCCGCGAAGGAGAATCGACGGACTCACCACACCCGAAAAACTCCATCACTAGTAGGTTTCCGTTTTCTGATATTTTTTTTTGCCAATTGAGATCCCTAACATGTTTTTTTGCAGGGCCAAAATCGATCAAAAACAGTCAGGCCGAGGCAGACCGATGCGGCGGACGATGGTGTCATCGTCGGAGCACAATGGTACCGCCATGCTGGAACCCCAAAATTGGTTAGAAATGATTTTTTACATTGATTTTAGATTCCTATGGTATTTTTAGGTACGTGATAAGTGTTTTGGATTCCGCATGAATAATTCAGGAAATCCGGGGACTGCTAGTAGGTGCAGTAAAAAGTTCGATATTTCGGATACCGATTCGGGTAAGGATCTCTCACCATTTTCTCCGTTACGGTAAATTGAGGCTTAATAATTAATAATTATGTATTTTTATGAAAAATTAGAGAACCTTAAAAATAATTACAGGTTACTAATGGAGGCAGAACCGGTTAGTTCATAGTTGTTTTGATTTTCTATTTATTTTTCTATATTGCCTATATTTATTTACTATTATATTGTGCACAACTATTGAATAATTGATTATTATGCTGATGAAAATCTGTATAAGAAAGACTTATTGGGTACCCGAAAAAGAGCTGACGAACCCGGTACATAAGGAACCCTATCGTAAATGTTACCTCAGTCGGACGAGATTGGGAAAGTCCCTTACCAGAAAAGTTTAGAAGATATAGTTCACCCTCATACCGGATAAAGTATCAAGTGGTAGCATGTTTGGCACCCATACCGATCAGGGTATAAAGACGACCGATTAACTGTTTAATTGGATATTGGGTTCACGAGTAGGAGACATCCTTATGGACCTCAAGGGGTACTAGTAAACGGATTAAATGTAAATAATCATTTCTTGTATCTTCTATGTGAAAATAATA